TAATGCTTTTCCAAACATGTTTTTGTAATTTTTTATTTTTGTAACTTTTAAATATGAGAAAATAAAAAGGAAAGAAAATGTTGTTCAAATGAACTTATCCATCTCCTGTTAAGGAAAACTTTAATCTCTTCAAGTTTTTTGCAAATTGTTTTCAAATGAAGAAAAAATATTTTCTGCACTTATTCCATTCTATTTAATGAGTTAAAATTAATATTTTCAGTCTTCAGAATTATGTAAAATCGGTTTGTTTCGTACAGGTTTCAAATATTTCTGTTGTTGTTACGGTCGCTATGCACACTTTTGTCAAAGTTTGTTCAAATCATTTTCATCTTCAATTTATATATTATTTTATCCTTTTATTAATAATATTTCTTTGTTAATAAGAATAATTTACAAATTTTTCCAATATATTTGTTTAATTTTTGAATTTATCGTTTATTAATTACTTGTGCCACTTAATAAAATTGAATATTAAACTATCAAATAAATTGTTAGCACTCAGAAAATATTATCATTTATATCAGTGTAAACCACAAATGATAATGTACAATTCTTTCTATCTGGATAATTATTTTATTCGAGAATCTGACAGAACATATAAGTACGTAAAAGTACCTTAATAATATTGTCATAGAATATTCATTTACATTTCAAATATTTTTTCATTGAAAAGAAAATAAAACATTAATCAACAATTTATCAAATTAATTGCTAATATTAATTTCATTTATAGGAATATCCGCTCTTTTCTTTCGAAAAGATAATTCAACGAATCATAACTTATTTTGTGCACGCCATGTACTAACAATTGGAAATAGCAGGCAATTCAATTTTGATTTCCACGGAAAATTTGATAATGAATGAAATAGCTTATTTATTGCTTTTACTCTACCTTATTAGGAAACTTTTGTCGTTCTTCTTGAAATAGTAAATTGGAAAAAATTAAAAAAAGAAAAATAATAATTAAGTGAGTAAGTTGGAAGAAAATGAAACAAATTTAAATATACTAAAAATTAAAATTTTGATTATCTGTTGATTTTAATAGTATGCAAATATTTGCTTGTTCATTTGCCCATGCTCAATATATTCAAATATGAATAATACGGAATAATACATGGCAAATATTGCTATATTAAAATAAATTTTTGAAAATAAGAATGATGAAAAAAATACGGTAAATGTTCCAAATTTAAATTAAATTTATAATATTTCAAATTTCCGAATTTAACATAGGGATGAGCAGGAAAAGTCAAATATGACTTTATCAATGACTATTAGCGAGATAAATGATACTCAAATATGGGATAAACATGAGGTAATTGACTGTTATATTTGTATAGTTCATGGATTCTTTTCTTCGAATACATAAGCTTAAGCTGAATATAAAATAGATCTGAATTCAATTTTAATTTTTCTAATACTTTATTATATCACGAGATGTTTTTGGAACATTTTTTCAAAAAAAAAAAAAAAACTGCTTGATGTTATTGTTGAAATTTTATATCAGCTGATAAATCAACTGGAGCAAGCAAAATAAAGTTACCATATCCTAGAAAAAGATTTATTTAATACGATTAAATATTTTAATATAATTATTAATTATATCACTTATCAATTTACAGTATTGTTATGTGCGCTTATGGCCGAATAATACTTTCCAATTTGATACTAACGATGATTTATGTGAAGAAGCAAATGTCTCAGATTCTCGCCTTCTGCCAATAATTAGAACGTTTTGTTCTTCAGCAAAAGGTGAACGAGCGTAAACTTTGTGTTCAAAAAATTTTAAATTTTAATTTTAAACTTCAACAGTTATGAAAAAAAAACAAGGTTATAAGAGTAATTTGTAGTAAAAATGCAATCTAATTAAATCAGAATTATCAGGAATAAAAGATGTATGAAAATTTTTGTAGAATACTTGATAAGACAAATATTGTATAGTTATATTTGTTGTCAAAATAGTTCAGCTGATAGTATGGTTCAGAGGAATGATAACAGTGAAATGTTATCAGATGTGATAAAATTTTTTTGGTTTTGTTAATTTTAATAGTTTTATTAACAAAATTGTTTAATGATATCAACGGTACTGAAGAGATTAGCAAGTACTGAAATTAAAATTATCATCCTCATAATGCGATGAAAAATTCTAAACTTTATTACTTCATTAAGAAAATATTGATTTAATAATGATTATTCTCTCAATTATTTTTTCAACAAATATCAGTTTACAGACTATCATAATTTCTGTCCTTTTAAAAGTTCTGATGCAAACGAAGCAAACGACATCGTATGTTGCTGTGATCATCAACACTTCTGTAACTATAATGCAAGTTCCCATTCTCATTCTCAAACTTGGCATATTTAAATTTTATCTTAAAATTATAAAATTTTTTAATCTTCGTGAGTTTAAAAATTGCCATAAAAGAGAAATTAAAAAATGTATAAAATAATAATTACTTTAAATTCAACTAAAGTTATCATTAGCAGAAAAAAATGGCCAAAAATAAAAAGGATTTATAGGATTTACATATATCTAACAACAAATTAATCTTTTTCATTATAATTTTTGAGAGGCTATCTTCTAAATGCGACTTTCAGCCTGATATTACACATTTTCAATCTGATATGACAAATTATCAACTTGATATTATAAACATTCAATCTGATATGACAAACTATCAATCTGATATGATAAATTGATATATTTCAATGTGATAATTATATATTTTCAGCCTGATATACACGCCAAATTAGCCGGCGAAAATAAAAATCGTCACAAATGTTTTTATAACGATCGTTATCAGTATTTATTCAATCAGTATTACATGAGAACAACAAGAGATGATGTGTGTTTATTGCATTATATTGATAATTATACAGCAAGTGATATGAGTATGAATGATACCGAAAATGGATTAATTTTTCATTCATATCCAGGTAATATTTTATTTTTGGATTTCTTCAAATGCAAATTATATGTTAATTGCAGGTTGATATGGTAAAATTAATTGAAAATTCATTTAGGAAATGGTTTTTATCCGATTGATTTTTCATATATTTTCCTGGAAAATAATACTTGTGCTTATGTGGAAGTGAAAGTAAGAATTGATTTGAAAGATTATTTGATATATTTGTCACTGATATATGACATTTGGCCACATTGGTGATATAAATTATTGAGGCCAACGATATTAGACAGTTACAGTACTGGCTTATAATTGTTGTAAATGAATTTGTGATTAATCCATGAATGGAGCAGATAGTGTTAGACTATTTCAAACAAATATTTTCTGGCCATGTTGTAATTAAATCAATGAGATTAATCAATGAAATGAATTCCGAGAATTCACGGGTGAAGAAAACTTTTTTTGCAGATTAATCAAGCTTCAATTCGAAATTCGGTTAATTGCTTCAAGGAACATTTTAGTACGAATTATATGCCAGTGAAAATATTTGTATGTAGCTGTACTCTTGAAGAGAATGGCAATCATTGTGATAAAAAATTGGAGAGTGAAATTGCAGATCGAGCAAAGCAATTTGTTCGTTTCAGCTAATTTATCTCAAAACTAAATCATCGATAATTAATTTAATTAGCATATCATTCCTCTGGTAGGTAGCTAAATCTTCTTGTCGCATATCATTGCGATATTAGCAAAAGGCAATTACCATTGCTGGAAAAAATCGAGAAATGATAAAGTGCTAACAAAAATTAATTTGTAGCCGATCGAATCATTAACAAAATGCGCTGAATTTAAATTACCGGAAGCGGAGATGAACGAAAGTGATTTGATATATGTACGACATACTTCATATTGCTTTACGGCAGCGTCTACAATATCAGATAAAATATCAGGTCAATCATCAAATGTAGTAATTTATCATGAATGAATGAATTAATTCATCAATGAAATATGAAAATGAGTAGAAAAAATAATAAAAATTAGATAATTTTATCGTTGTAAAAATTAATAATGAAATATTTGATAATTACTTTTGATATTTAAGGTATACGATTAAGGGTGAAAGCAAGTGCGGTAACACGATTGTTAGCAGTACGAAGTGGGAAGCATTTTGATCATATTGCATTTTCAATGTATAACTTGTAAGTTATCACTTTTCCATCGTTGTTATGCTATGAGAATCGCAAAATTTTATTGCGAAATATTTGAATGGATGAACGGATCATTCACGTTATAGAGGAAATGATAAAAGTTTATGTTTAGGAAATCATTGATGACGCTGAATTCTACGTAAAATTCATTTCTCATCAAAATTTTATCCCTTCAAAATTAGCTAAAAAATTGAAACTTTTTAATGTTTAGAAATATTGCAAGATATCATGGAAAAGTTTAATTCGTTTCAATAATTGCGTAATTTTTTATGACCGGTACGAAGGAACAATTTTGTACTACCTTCCGGAAATTTAATAAAATTTACGCTGTTTGCTTTTGTCGTTCCTACGATGTCAATGCACCGATTTGCAATGAATATCCGAAGATGATTCCAACTGCAACGAGATTACTGATGCGAGAGGAAAGTGGTCGTACTGTATGCCTTTACTTTCAAACTTGCTTTATTGTAATTTTACGTTTGAAGATTCACGTGATTCATCCATAACAGGACATATAATAATATGATATGATATTGATTATTTAATCTATTTTGATATGTTTCATATTATCAAAAAATGTACATAAGAATTTTGTAAATAAATGATCAGAAAAAAAGCTTAAGATTTCAATCATTAATTGATTTTTTTTAAAGGATCATAAGAAAGAATATGAGTTAAACTGAGAAAAATTTTTGCAGCCACGTCGATTCATTCGTCATTTATTAAATGGAGATGGAAAATTATGGTGTCAATCGAGTCCCTTTTATGCAACCCTTTTTATTGATTGTATGTCCGAATTTCTAATTTATTGATTGTATGTCCGAATACATATTATAATTACAAGTGAAAAAAAGATGCTTTAATTTTAATATTATGGAATAACAAAGATGATAATGTCAAAATTTAAGAGATTAAATTTGATGATATAAAATTTTTAATAAAATTTAATTTCTATTGCAGATAAAAAAAGTAGCCTTGTGAGGAAAACGAAATGTGTTTCAAAGCATATTGAATTATTAAAAATCGAAAGAACTCATAGGGCGAAAGTATTTGGTAAATGAATGCTTCATTTTTGTATCTTTTCTCATCACATTTTACGTGGAAATAATTTTTAATTAATTAGTCTCATCTGATAAGCGACGCAAGAATGGAAGTGATGCAGCTTTTTGTTTTTTCTTAAATCTAACAATTATCCTCTTTAGATCTTACAAGCTTTCTTTTTCGTTTCGATTAAAATTTTCATTGAAAAAAGAGTAATAGTTTTATAAGAAGGATAATTCCACTTATCAAATGAATGATGAAAATGAATGAAATATTAATTAGAACTGTAAAATTAATATTTATTATATTATTCTTTTTTTCTTGATGATTGTTTTTTTTTTCTCAGATAATTCAATTTTTTGCGATTCACTGCCATCATCGGCTGAAAAAATTGGATGTTTTGATTTAAATTTGGAGGAAGAAGAATCACAAAGTTCACAGGGAAGTAATGTAATATGTTGTTGCAATACGGAACATGAGTGTGATCAAACTTCACTGCAAATTCGACGCATCGTTTCATATTTAATGAAATCTATTATCATTTAAATTTAGTATTTAATGTTATTTTGTGCCAATTAATTCGTTTATTTTTATTGCTATCATTTGTTCCTTCCCTTTTTATTCTGATTTTCTACACTTTTATGCTTACATTAAATATATTCGATTGAACTTTGACAGGCTCAAAGTGATGCATCGTAGTAATTACGAATTAGATGGATACATGCTATTCTTATCAGATTGTCCAAAAAATTTTGCATTTGATGTGATAAAATTATGCTTTAGAAATAACCAAATCGTTAGTTGCATTGAGAAGTAATGAGCCTAGAAGAAGTAGGCCTATAATTGCAGGGTATAACATTTGCATACATATCTACTGCACTATGAGAGATTATATTGGAATTTATTTTATTCAGTGCTACTTGGCAAAAATTATTTTGTTTTCTTCTTTCTTCCACTTATCGGTTTATTTCATCATTTCCTTTCATCTTCTCCGCTTTTCATATGGCACCGCTCATCATCATTTGATATGTTTTCGAATAATTTGATTTAT